CCTGGTATAAAACTTAATACTTTGAATGGCATTTCATGATCATGATCAAAAAGTTTTCTCTCATTCGTTCTGGAAAATACTTTAGATTGAGCTTGAAACATGAGAGGCATCACTTTTTTGTATGCACTGAGTATACTACTCGAGGATTGAATAGTAACTATCAGTTGGGAGCAAAGCTTTTTCCTGGTGTGTTGCCATGGAGTTTCCCATCATAATTTCCCATACCAACATAACTAATAACATGTGCACTATCATTATGGCTATGTTCAATTCTGCTTCCAAAAAGACAAGTTTTAGGGTTTATATTTTCTATTTAAAATTGAATAAAATTTTATATGTTAAAGAAGTTGGATTAAATGTTAATATTTACATATTTAAAATTTGAACTTTAAATCTTAAAATAGAAAAGTATTTAGTCATATTATAAGAGTTTATTTAATACTAAAGTTTATATATTCAAAAATTCAGAAAATTTCAATTTCATAATTTGAATGACTTAAACTGATATTTTTATTTTTGTTACTTTATTTTTCTGTTTAATTATATCAAGAGAAGTTATTGAATTCTTTTATCTTAAAATGGAAATTATTGATTAGTTTATTTCCCCTCTGTTTCCTTCTTATTTTCCCTTCCCTTTTCTTTCCTCTCATAGTCTACTCCCCTCAAAACAGACCCCATAATTTTTTTTTTCATCACATTCTGATTTGGCTTACATTTGGGTCTAATCTTTCCCTCAAATTTCCCATTTTTCAGCCATGAATTCACTTAACATCAACTCAATTTTCCTCATATCAGCAATTTTCCGCGTGGGTTTAATCCTGTATGGAGAATGGCAAGATGCCCATATGGAAGTTAGATACACGGATGTAGATTACCTTGTTTTCTCAGATGCCTCTTCTTTAATGGCTTCTGGTCATTCTCCTTATAAAAGAACTACTTACCGTTATTCGCCTTTGCTTGCTTTTCTTTTAATTCCCAACTCTTTTCTTTCTCCTTCTTGGGGCAAGTTTCTCTTCTCAACTTCAGGTATACTTAGTCTTTTACTTTAATTGTAGCTTATAATTTTACCCATTTTATCTTCAATTAGTTTGCTTTGCATTTTTCTTGCTCTTGTACTTGGGAAGGTCTTGTTGGAGATGTTGATTTTTTAGCAAAAAAAGAGGTGTAGATTGTGAGAAAATAAGTATTTTGTTTGAAATTTTTGTTACTTTCTGCTTGCTTTTTGATAGTATTTGCCTTTTATTTCATGATAAGTTGCTATAAAGGAAAAGCAAAATCGTAGTAATTAATTGAAAAATGAATAGTGTGATCCTATTTCTACCTAAAATTTGGGTTTTTCAATGCAACTTTGCAGCTTTTGATTACATAGAATTGAATGTGGGCGGCAAACTAGCCTCTTGTTAAATTTTTTCTTATATGCTCCGCACCTTATGTTGCTAATCACATAATGGCTTAAACAAGTTCAGGGCAAATCCTGTCCTTTGGTTGATTTTATACGAAAGCAAAAATTTAGTGGGGACATTAAAATATGATCCATTTACATGAAAAGATCATAATATATCTCTTTTCCAAAGGTCTTACTGGTTAACTCTTTTCAATGCAAACTATCATAATTCTGGATTTAGATATGAATGTAGCTGTTAGAAACAGAAATCTAACAGAAAGCAGTTTTTATTGTGAGCTTTGGTTCTGATCCACATTTTTGCAGATTTACTTGTTGGGTTGTTTATCCGTATCATATTAAAGCAGCGTAAGGTACCTGAAGACCTGTGCACGTATTCTGTGTTGTTATGGCTTTTCAACCCTTTTACCTTTACAATTGGAACTCGAGGAAACTGTGAACCTATTGTTTGTGCCATTATTTTGTGGATTGTTATCTGTCTTATGAATGGTATGTTTTCACTTCCATAAATTTATTTTTAAAAGTATATAGTGTTGCTGTTTCCCGTAAGTTAATATATACAAGCATTCTTTTTGGTATCTTATGTAGTTTCTCATAGATGTGTCATAAAATGGGGTTGTATCTTTCTTCATCAACTGCTAGGTTTGCCACTAAATCATTGTAAAGTCGACTCAATGATACCTTACCAAATGGCAAGTGGTAGCTTATAGGCAAATTCTTACAATTATGTTGTGGGTTTCAGTCTCACCAATTGTCACTGGGGAGACTCAAAACTTGAGTCCCATGCTAGTTAATCTTGGGTGTCTGGCGTTCTACCTTGACCTCCATAGTAGACAGAACACTGGATCCGGCTTTAGGTCAAATTCATCTTGATGGAGTGCCAACAAATTCCTTTCATTTTCAGGTCTGTCTTGGTTCTTCCTGGTTAGCTTCTTACTATGTAGGGATTGCTGTGGTCAAGGCTAGTCTGGCTTCTAGCCCTTTAAACCAGCCAAAGAAAAAATTGAAAACCTTGACAGCATCTTAGTTGCTCAGCTGATATAAAAAAAGTCCTCTCAAATTGTCAGTATTATAACATTGGCTTTAAGATAGTCTCAATTGCGTAAACATCTCTTGGGAAGTTTGGTGGTTGTCAAAGATGACATTGATATTTGAATTATAAGTGTCTCAAAGGCACCACCATTTCTATGATTTCAGTTGTTGTGCGAAATTGTAGGATCTGGTTTACGATTTTGGAGAGTGCTAGACTTGCACTGCTCTGTTAGTGGCAAGGATTTACTGAGATAGCATTTCAAAATGGACTGCTTACTTGATTTCCATTGATCTATCATTCAGAAAGTGAAGAGTTGGGATATGGAGTGGGAAAGCTAAATTACTTCACCAGTTTCTATATGTTACATTTCAATATCCAATGCAAATCTTATGGACAATGATCAGGCACTGCATTAAGAAGAGTTCTGTTGTTATGTAATTATTAAATGCAGTATATTGGCCTTTAAAAAAAAAAAAAATGCTGTATATTGGTATCTGGCTCTGTTGATCCCATTCGTTCTTTTTTCAGGTAAAGTAGTGCAAGCTGCATGTTGGTATGGTCTTGTTGTTCACTTCAGAATTTATCCCATAATCTATGCACTTCCCATCATCTTTTTTCTTGATCCATGCTTTTTCCAATCTGGTACGAAGCCATTGCTTTGTGATTGGACCTCTGCTCATGGAAAGACTCCTCAAATTAATTCAGAAGTGACCGATCAGTGTGACATATGGCTTGCATTTAAAAGCATATTCACGAGGTCAAGAATTTTGTTTGGTCTGGTTTCAGGGAGCGTTTTCCTCTTTTGTACTGGTTTTTTCTTCTATTTATATGGATGGGAATTCCTACACGAGGCATTGCTCTACCATCTTACCCGCACAGATCCAAGACACAATTTTTCCATCTATTTCTACCATATCTATCTTAACTATGAACGTGAGCTTTCAGTTCTGGAAAAGCTCATCTCCTTTTTGCCTCAATTTATAGTGCAGCTGGTTCTTATTTTCTGCTTCGCAAAGGATCTCCTATTCTGCTTCTTTGTACAGACAGTGGCATTTGTAGCATTCAATAAGGTATGATAATTTAATGTTCCTAGCTTGACTTGTGGAACCTTGACATATCATCATAAGCCATGGGAGAATCAGTTCATTTAATAAAAAATCTGCCCATTACCTCTCCTACCCTTTTCTTTACATGAAATGTTTAAAGTGAGCCATGTACGCATTTGCATTCTTCTAAAGGTCTCTAAATGCAGACACAGCCGGGCATAGCATTGTACTTAACCAATCTACACTTCTTCCTCGTCCTTGAAATCTTCTTTCCTTATTAGTGGAGCCTTTGTGTATTTACACTGGATTTACTCCTTGAACAGGTAATCACTGCACAATATTTTGTATGGTTCTTTTGCCTGTTACCTCTTATTTTGCCATGGAGCAATATGAAGCTTAAATGGCAAGGCCTATGTTGTATTCTTTTATGGATGGGAGCTCAAAGCCATTGGTTGATGTGGGGTTATCTGCTTGAATTTAAAGGCAAGAATGTCTTTCTACAGCTTTGGATGGCAAGCTTGCTTTTTCTGGCTGCTAATACTTTGATCATGATCATGCTTACCCGGCACCATAACTTCTCTCCAGTATTTAGACGGCATGCAGGTTCGAAGAGAGCATCAAAGCGTGACTGAGAAGACGGTCCTGCAACCATGTAGGAGTAGAAATTCTTTTAATCAACAATGGCTATGACATTCTTTAAATTTTTGTGGGGATTTGAGGGTTTAGATGTTGCGGTTCTTGCAGCATAGCTAGTAGAAACAGGCAACAGAGAGTTTGTGTTTTTGATTAGTAACCCCAGCTGAATCCGGTAGTAGAGTAGAGTTGAACCATCATGGATTATCAAACTAAACATATTGATGTATTTTCGTGTTTGTAGGTTATTTTATTATTTCTTACACAATTTATGATTCAATCATAAAATCTAACATAGCAATCATCAGGCTGAAATCAACCTCAAGATTCATTATTTCTTTATTAGTATATGTTCTTTTTGGGTGCTAAGGTATATTTGCATGATTTGTAAGAAAATCTTAAACTCGAATACGCCTCTTTAAGTTTGAATGTAAGGAAATTTTTTTATAAATTATAAATTTTATATCAATAAAAGGTAAGATGAATTTTTTATTTATAAATAAGAGTTTTTTTATCGTTTAATAAATATGCTTTTAAGGATTTATAAAAAAAAAATTAAGATTGAAAATGTAAAATTATAACAGATTTTATATTTAACAAACATATTGTTGTGATTGAAAGTGTAAGTTTGTAACATATCCAATATTACTTAATTAAATGTTCATAAGCTTGAATAAATTTGAAACTTTAATTAAAAATATTATATTCAAATTATTGAAAGATAATTTTTTGTTCAAAATCTTTAGCATATCTCATGGTTTAAGAAACTGTACAGAATTATTTTATTCCTAGTAAAATAATAGCAACTGAAAAGGAATAATGAAATCCCATTCCGATCCACTATGCTAACCAACTAACCAAACAGCCAGAAAATCATCAAAATTTAGGTATGAAGGAGACACAGGTGCGTCTGCCCTTTTTCTAGCCTTTCTGATCCTCGTCCGTTCCAACTCCCAACTCACAACTCTGGTGCTCTGCTCACTCACTCTCTTTCTTTCTTCTTTTACTCCTTCTTTCATAGAGTTGTATAATTGAATGGAAAATATGAATATGGCCTTAGTTTCTTCTTCTTCTTCTTCTTCTCCTCCTCTCAAGTTATTTCTGTTAGGATGCAATCATCCTAATTACACTCTCAAAAACCCTGCCAAAACCCTCCCTTTTCCATCTTCCAAGCTTGCCCCTCGTCGTTCCAGAATTTCCATTTTCGCCCACTCTCACTCTCAGCCTGCTCCTCCCCGAAGTCTCCCCCATATTGGTATATTTTCTTTTCTGTAGGTTTCTTTCTTAATTTTTTTTTTTACTTTAAAAACTTATGATTTGATTTTTTTATTGGTTTTGGTTTTGTTATTGCAGTTTTGAGAAAGCTTGGAGATGAGAGGTTTGCAAGCATTTCTTCTTCAAGTAGTCAGCAAACTTCTTCAGTTGGAGTCAACCCAAATCCAACAGCGCCACCGCCCTCGTCTCAGATGTAATTAAATCACCCTTTCTTTCTTAAAAGCTTTGGTTTCGTTTGGATGCCATTTTTGTTTCTTACTTTTATGCCTTGGAAAATAAGAAAAATAGTGCCTTAAGGATATAAAAGGTATGCAATATATAGCTTTTTGAAGAACTAAAAGTTCTTGTACAACTGAAACTTAAAATTGTAGTAATTTACCTTTTATTTTTTTGGAACATAGTGTGTGATTTTACTTTAATATAGAATAGTTGCATTTTAGTTATATGTCCATTTTTAATCTTTTGACTTTTTAATGTAACTTTTCAGGAAGCCAAAAGCAAGTAGCAACAACCAAACAGAACCTTAATTCTCATGACTCAAGAAATATATGATTTCATTTGTGAAGGAAACAAATATATTTGAATTGATATTTAATTTTAATAATTTACTTAATTCTTAATCAAATTATGATTCTCTTTTTTATGATTTACTTTTACTTTATAGCAATTTTTGAGGAAGCAAAAGGCAAACAAAAAAGAAATAATTGGACAGAATTTTTTTTTGGTGTTTTATGAACATAAATTTCTTTGCTTAGTTGTTTGTCTCTTTATGTTTTGTAGAGGGTCACCGCTCTTCTGGATTGGAGTGGGCGTTGGGCTCTCAGCGCTTTTTACATGGGTGAGCACAAAGGTTTTTTTTGGTGATATTTTTTGTATATTGTTGTAATAAAAATGGTTTCCTTTTGTTACATATGTTGATGAAGTTGAGTGAAATGACAGGTAGCTTCAAGCTTAAAGGTGAGGGTTTCTCTCATATGAGGTATGATTGTATTGTTTTTCCCTTTGATCTGTATGATTGAATCTTTTGTTATAGTTTGGAAGTAGCGTTGGGTACTGCAATGAAGCAATGAAAACTGACTATGGGTAAAATCTATTTAGTGTGCATGCTTTGAATGTCTCCTAGAAATTGAAAGTCTCGATTATGCTTGTTGTGGCATTTGAAGACTGAAATTGTCATGTGAGTGGGGAAACTTTAGATTGGATTGGCTGTTAATTTACCAATTTATTATAACTTGAAGTTAATACCTTTCATTAGTTTTTCAAGTTTTTTGTGTTTGTCATGTACTATCTTAAAGGTGCCTTCTTTTATCTGTTAAATATTATTTTTCTCTTTTGGAGGGTTTATGTTTAGCCATGGTCAGAGTTTGGTCAAGAAGACTAAACAGTATGATATGAACCTGCCCACGAATCCTTAATTTGAACAAATTGTTTGGCTATGTACCTGATTCTAGTTGCTATATATGCTTTGAAATTAAAGAATTAAGGTTGTAATAGATGGTAATAGTTCAAAACAAGATTGGGGAATATAATGTATTGCCCAGAGGGCCCAGAGTTAACCTGCAAAATTGTGGTTTGATATTTGTAAAAAAATTTTCTTTGTCCATCCTAAAGGAAGATGAACTCCTGCATGGGTTCCCAGAGGGTGGGGGGTTTGGACTTTGGAGTCGATGACAAAGTTGTTGTTAATGGAATTATGGATCCAGGATATAAAATTGCCAGTCAACAAGTAAGTAAAGAACTAGTTGTTTTATTTGTGACTCTTAAATTTCAGTCCGATCTCAATTAAATATGTTGAGAAGCTGACCTCAAGGCAGCAGCTTGCCTTGTCATAACCTTTGCAATGGCATAACTCTAGTGTCCCCTGTATTATTGTCAATTTACAAATGTTGAAAATGATAATTTGGTATCCACACCATGTTTCTTGGTTGTCTTAAAGACAATCAAAGCCCTTTCATAGCTTGGTAGATATATAACTCTCTTTCATGGGACTTTGGGTGTGATTGAGTTGTGCCTTAATGTATCTACATTATTGTCATTGTTGTCAGGTCTACTTAACTTTCATTATGTGCTTAAGATGATGCAAATGGCTAAAAGTTTTGCACACAGTGCAGCAGGTTACAATATAACTGTTATTTCTTTGCTTTATGATATTTACCTTGCCATTATTCAGAAATATGCAATGCAACAAGCTTTCAAAACCATGATGGGCCAGATGAATACACAAAATAACCAATTCTCCAATGTCGCTTTTCCTTCGGGGTCCCCATTTCCATTTCCAGCACCTCCATCACCAGGACCTGTCACATCCCCTTCTCCATCTTCTCAACCTGCAGTTACAGTTGATGTACCTGCAACAAAAGTTGAAGCAGCCCCGGCTGCTACTCCAGCAACTGAAGTGAAAAGTGAAGCAGAAACAGCAGAGCCAAAGAAATATGGTAATATAGAACTTTTACTGCTGCCATAAGATGTTATATAATGTGCAACTCTTTCCTTTTTTAGGTAAAGAGGAACAACATGTGGCCCATTCTTGTATAAAAACATTAGCAAACTAATGAAATTTTCTAGTTTCAAAATGATGGTTGTAGAGTCAGTGAACTATTTAATTCATTGCAATCACTGATGTTGTTCTTGAATTGTTTCTTCAAGACTGATGCAAAGTTCTCTTTGCAGCTTTTGTGGATGTTTCTCCAGAAGAAACTGTGCAAAAGAGTGCTTTTGAAGATGCAGCTGAGATAAGTTCATCAAACAATACTCAGTTTCCCAAGGATGTAAGATTTTGAATGAGCTCTTGCTACAAGGCTGTGGTAATATGGATTTATTTCTTTGAAATTCAAAGTATCTATTATGGGAAATTAATTATTCGAATATTGTATGAAGGTTTCTGATAATGGAGCTGCATCCAAGCAGGATGCTGGTGCTTTTGGGGGTTCCCAGTCAACTGGTAAGTAAAGAGCTAGTTGTAACTGATCAAGCTTTTCATCATTTCAAATGAAAGTGAGGAATATTTGGTTTTTAGTTGGCTATAATTGCTGTCTGAATAAAAGGATAAAAAACATGAAGAGTTTCGTGTCAAATGCATCACTTTTAACTCTTGCAGTTATCCCATTTGTTAATATTTTTCTGGGACTATGAGAGATTATAATTTGAACATAAGGAAAAAGAAAAAAACCATTTTAGAGATCAATAAATCTATCTCAAGACAATGGGGGATATCATAAACTGGGTTATGGTATGTATGTTAAAAGAAAGGAACACTAATAAAGGGCAGCACAGGAATAAAGGAGTAAGCCTTAAAATCACAGGATTTGTCATGTGTCCATACACATAATTTTCTTAGTAATTAAGGCTATATTGTTAATGTTCAGCTCTTTATAAAGACATGTATTGATGCATATATTGACATAGCTAAATGGTTGTTTAATTGTTGGATTTGTTACCTCATTGATAAAGATGCATTTCTGATGCCATCTTATATAGTTTGCGCTGTATTTGCTTTATGATTAAAGTTTATATATGGTGCCTGTTTGTCACAAATTAAGTTGTATTTATGCATACCAGTGATTTAATCACGCATGTGAACATGTTGAGCGTGCTTTCTAATTGCCTTCATACTGTCTCAGTAGTACTTAACAAGCATTGTATTACATTTGCAGGAACAGCAGATCCTGCCTTATCTGTGGATGCTTTAGAGAAGATGATGGAAGATCCAACAGTGCAGAAGATGGTTTATCCGTAATATAGCTTCTTTTCCTCAAAAAATTTATTTTATTTTTCTTTATTTTTCTGATTGATGTCATCTTGGTGTGTTGTGCCCTGAGGTGCGGTGAAAGACCATGCTCCTGTCACAATGTCCATTCTTTCATTCTTAATTCTTTGGAATATTTACAAAACACAGGGTCAATATCAAATTATAGAAGTTTCTGTTATATCTTTCCAAAATGTAATGTATTAGGCTTGGTATCTCAAACTCTTCTAAATGAGCACGGACTTATATTACAGCTTTTATCATCAGTCCTTTAGTAATTGAGTCCTGATCTTATGTCCTGCACCCTTTATTAAACTTTGACAACTCCGATCTAGGTTCCCTGATGATCTTTATACCTATTTACAGCATTTTCTTAACCCTACTGTACTGGACTGTGAATGTTGCTGGTCAAAACTGAGTTATCTTCTTCTTTCCTTTTCTTCTCCCATCAATTGTGCAATAATATTCAAACCTTGAGCCATAAACCTTTTTTCCACCAATGCAACCATTGTCATTTTTCCTAATTATTGTGACTTTGCCCATGAAGTTAGTTACTGAAAGCTGGCATCAAATCTACCCTATTAGTCCTTTCTCCTAATCCTTGTGGACCTTGCCCATAAAGTTAGTGATTGAAGGCTGGCATCGAATCTACTCTGTAATGCTTTTGGAAAATTGAGAGCCAAGCAAGTTACTTTGAAGGCAAAGCTAATAGACTTCCATTACCTTCAAGTACATGGATTTGCACATGATAAGGTATAGTGATAAGTTAAGTCTGCTAAAAATATCCCTCAAAAACACATAAGCTTTTAATGGTATATGAAGCCATTTTTCCCTTAGAACTTAGATAAGCAAGCGAAACTTTCTCTTTGGCTTCCATTGTTTGGATTTTTATATCTGAACTCATTTGTCAATGTTCTTATTGGAGAAATCGCAATCTTGAGTTTTAAAGTAACTAAGTATTGAAATTAGTAAATGTACTATTCGGAGGTCAGCTGTGGTGTTTCCAATGAAAGAGAGAAGCCCATCTGCTTTTTATTAGGTTGTTAGAACTTAGAAGAGGGAAAGAGAGAGGGAAGGGTGGGGGGTTGGGGGGTGGTTGTATTGGGATCTGAGATATTGTGCTTTCCTATCATATGAGGGCCTTGGGCTGAGTCCTATTAACACCCCTACAAAAAGAAAACCACTAAGTAAAATCTTTATGTGTCTTTAGAAAGCCTTTTATATGTAGACTTCCTCTTAATTGGTTCCATTACTAGTTGTTTGTCTGTAAACTGAACTAACCTTTTTGTTGATATCTTTGTGTTATCCTTTCCAAAAGGAAATTTAATCTTTTACTTATCCATACAGATATTTGCCTGAGGAAATGAGGAACCCTGAGACATTTAAATGTAAGTCCCTGCTTTGGTAACACCTCTTTCCTTCTTTGTTTTCTGTTCTTTTTCTTCATGTCTAAGGAGGATGCATGGGTGGGTGGGAATTAGTCTCTGTAAATTTATATGTTAAAAGCATATTTTCTTGACCGTTTAAATTTGATATCAGAGTTTTAAGCTTTTGCACAGCTTTTTTAATGCTAAGGGAGCTGGTGTCTATATATTTATTATATTAAGAGTTTCAGTTCTAATTAATTTCCCTAGGTTACTGTATCCTGCAAGAACTTGTTTCATTTTCCAGACAACTAATTAGAGTTATTTGTTTTGCAAAAGTGCTTTGTTGTTTCCACGCATAAGCAGTGTTGCAATTTTATGGATATTTTGTTTATATGTGCCAATTTTCCTTCTTTTGTGTGTATTTTCTAACAGGGATGCTACAAAATCCTCAATATCGTCAACAACTGCAAGACATGCTGTAAGCTTTTTTCTGACTTCCTGCATTTGATTATTTTTAATGGGCTTGTCTTTCTCTTAATTTACAGTTCTTACAAGCCTTGCCTCTTTAAAAAGATTTACATGTTTGCTTCTCATTCTTGTTCTTGTACAGTTATCCTGTTCACTATTCTGTCTGGAGTTTATTGATATATAATTCCTGGTCTTGCTTTTCTTCATACTAATTTTTGAGAGGCGGAGTTGGAATATATTATTCTTGTACTCCAATCTTGGTTGAAATTCTTTTTAAAATTTTTTCTAAATGTCTATAGTACTGCTTGAAGAGTAAGAAACTAGGAATGGCAATTATCTAAAGTAGATATCACATGACATTATCATGTGTGAAATTAACATGATCCTATAGGATTTTTGAATAGCTTGTAATATGCATGGATATCTTTCTCAATTTTTTTTTTCCTGATGTCAGCACATCTCATACTTTATGCATTTATTAGCTGCCAAGTTTTTAATTTTACCTCTTGGTTGTCATTAACTTTCAATTGATTAGGAAAATATAATTTTGGTGGTTCATTGATTCTCTAAATATTGTTTATGTTATGCATTAAGAGAATCAGTATATTTGGTTACTCTGCTGATAGATTTATAGTTTGTGTATGTTATCCCCTACCATTCTGCCTGAGTTTTTGACTTTTGATGTTGAAAGATTAAGGCTCTGTTCGGTTGATGCTTTTGCTATTTGGCTTTTGTTTTCTATTCACTTTTGCTTTTGCCTTTTGCTTGATTTTCTTGTTGTTTAGAATTGGATCAGTTCATAGTGAATCTACATGCTTATCTGCATGTCTTGATAATGCTTTTCAGAAATAATATGGGTGGAAGTACTGAATGGGACAATAGGATGATGGACTCCTTGAAAAACTTTGATCTCAACAGTGCTGAGGTCAAGCAGCAATTTGGTAAGTGCAAAGCTTTTGTTGAAGTGTTCAAATGCCTGGTGTATATGGGAACTAGTCTTTTTTCATTACATTCTCGCTTTCCTACTTTATATGTGATATATATAGTTGGTCGATGGTCAGTTTCTGTCGTGCTGGAATGCAGTCTGGTGCCTGAAGAAAGTTCTTATATCTCCCTTTCCCCTTTTGCAGATCAGATCGGTCTTACACCTGAAGAAGTAATCTCAAAAATAATGGCCAACCCTGAAGTTGCTATGGCATTCCAAAACCCTAGAGTTCAAGCAGCTATAATGGATGTATGCCTTCTCTGGTTTACTGATGATTCCTTAATTATCTCTCTTCATGTCATGCAGATGTACTAAATCTTTAGTATTAATGTTTTTTACTTTGTGCTGCTTTTGCAGTGTTCACAGAACCCACTGAGTATTGCAAAATATCAAAATGACAAGGAGGTAACCTAGGCCTTTTTTCTATTTTTTGATGGGCTAATTGATCCTCACTTGGAGTGTGTTGCCTCTATCTGTCCTTTTAAGCAAAATTTTATTCTTTCCTTAATGATACTAGCCTATATTTTAAACATTCTATAAGACGTTCCAATTAATTTTAATTGATTAAAAATGGGTACATTTATCTTAAAAAATTAAGTTGTTTTTTTTCGTCCGAGTTTATTTTGTCTTAGGCATGTGTAGACCTACATGTCTAAGTACATGCAGATTATGACAAATACTTATTAAAGATTCAATATATGGCACATCAGATCATGGTTTCATCGTTGCTGCCATTTTCTGGCTCTTTGTCAAGACAGATTGTTTTTATAGTTGATCACTTTATATGTCTTATTGTTGACAATTTGCCTTATATGATTTGTTTTTGGGTTTTGATTTATTTTTGGGTTTCAGGTTATGGATGTATTCAACAAAATATCAGAACTCTTCCCTGGAGTAACAGGGTCGCCTTGATTTTGGTAGTTCATTTCAAGTCGCTGCTTTTGGGAGCATAATGTACCCATTTTATGTCAGATGGTTGAGGTGATCGGATCTGGAGTATACGAATCCAAGACCGAGGATTACATCCTACATTACTGGTGGCAGCTGGTTCTCAGTTTCACAGTTTTGCTTTTAGTAGGAGAACGAGCATTAGCATTGAGTTGTGCCTAATATTCACCCTGTCCTGTACTCTAGGTTTAGTTGACTGTAGTTGAATGCTTACTTTATCAACTGGGTTTATACCGAAAATAACTGTACATGCTGTCTCCTTTGTAAGAAGTTAGTGTTTCCCGTTTCTTTCTCTCTCAGAGCATGTCCATGATGGCACATAGAGGCAATGCCCGCAATATTTTGCTGCATATTTTCATCTTGATCAGCTTGCTGTTATAAAACGGACTTGAAAGCGTATCAAGTGGTGGGAAAGATGAATCTGAGCAAAGGTTGCCCTTATTCACAAGCAATCTGGAAATATGGTTCCTTTGGATGCTTGTTTTCCGGCAGAATTCTTTGAAATTCAGGATAACAAGGGAATGATTAGCGTGAACCCCGATTATTGGATGATTGTTGCAAGCATATGTAGTATTTCGATTGCCCAGAAACCGATTTGGATTGTCATATTTTTGTTGTCTACAATTTCCATCAGCACAAAGTTAGCTCTTATGGCGCAAGAAGGATGAAAAAAAGACATGACTCTTGATTATAGTTTCGACAAAATATCATTGAGAGCTAAGACAATGCTGTCGTAGCACTGCCAAACACGTGATGCATCTTCATCCCTCGCTGCATAATCTAGCTGCAATGCTCAAAACCCAGAAGGAAATTCTCAACAGAAACCAATAATACCAATCAAAATATAAGGAAAAAGGTTGAATGTCTTACTTTAGTAACATTGTTGAAGAGATTAGAATAAAGCTTCCTGAGTGGAGGCCTTTCGCTTCCAGGTTTCCCTTGGATGATGGTATAAATATCCTGCTTCAACAATGATGAACTCTTCCTTAACTGCTTCTGCGCCTCACGCCAAGACTTGGACTCTATCAAATCTCTCACTTGCAACAAAGCTTTTGCATGATTCTCAACTCCACTTTCTGCCTCTTCAAGCGTCTGCTCTGGTGCTACCATTCTTAGGTCAAGCCCACATGCAGTCTCTTCCCTTATCAATAGTAAAGGAGTCATTGTTGCTAGGACTCCTACCCTTCTACTTATGTTTGAGTGCAGAAGCTTTTGAGGCATTTCCTTGGAGGGTTTTACATGGCAGGTGATTAAGGTTTTCGAAGAGTAGGGTTGGTTATACTTTGACACCAGAATTGGTCTTAATGATATCATTCCCTTGAACTACAAGTATGCTCCTTGGAACTATACCTGGAAAAAAAAAAATACAGACAGTAACTATAGTTTGAACTTCAGATTAGAGTAAAGGTCTAGTATTAATGCTGCCCAATCTGAAAGATATTTGACCAGAAAATGAGGGCGGGCCGATAAAAAGGAGAAGCAGGTCCTCATGTCTGAAAGGGATAAGCTAGGAAAGAAGAAGCTAAACTCGGAAGGCGAAATGGGAAGGAAGACGCAATGGCAGTACCTGGCTTCGAGTTAAGGCGGATAATTGTATAACTCTTGAATGTGATCCCTTATCCTTTCATACCTTTTGGGTTTGAGCCTTTCCTCTTTTGCCATTCATTTACTTATTTCCCTTATCTGTAACTCAATTAATTGAATGGTGAATCTATATCTTCTCACTTTTGAGCCAACTCCTCATTGAACTAAATATAACCATTGCAATTAATTTATAACCTATATCTAATATATAGAAGTGCAGAAATTAAAAGACTGTTTAATTAACGAGGATAGTTATATTTATTTATCTATATTTTAAAATATAGTATCTTAGACATGTAATAATAATGACTACTAATTTATCCTAAAAAAAGAAGAGAAAAGAGAAAGTGAAAAAACCCCTTCTTGCATCCGTAGTATTTAGTTAATACAGCTGCACGTAGTTGATCACCCAACCCCCTAAACAAAACCCTTTCAACAGTTTTACGCGGGACTCTTCTCTTTCTCTTTATATTTTCTTCCCTTGGTTGTTCTCAACAATTAAGAAAAAAAAAAAAAGATGAGTTGCAGAGATAAGTCTAAAAGACAGAACCAATCTTCAGGTAAACATTCCATTTTCACTCTTATTTTATATCAAAGTTTTAAACTTTCTTATGTTCTTGTATCTGGGTATTTGTTAGTTTTTCCCCCAATTTAACCCATCTTTCTTCATTTTTGAGGAAAAAGAATCCATCTTCAGTTGTTATAAAATATGTTATGGTATTATACAAAGTAAGAAGGAAATGGGTATTCTTTTTTAAGGGGACAACTGGGTGTCAGGTGTTTTTTTATTTAAAAAAAAAACATTAAAATGTAATTTTTATTGGAATTGTACTATGATGTAGGAAAGGTAGAGAATGTAGAAGTTTTGAAATGCTTATGGTAATTTTCATTGGCTTTTAATTGGAAGAGTAAGATTGGAACTTTGTAACTGGAAAATATTGGCTTATTTTTTTAATTTATTTTTGCTTTTTTTTTTCTGATGCCAGAATGGTTAATTTGTCAGTAAGTAAGATGGAAAATTAAAAATTTTTGCGCTTAATGAGTTTTATCATTTTATGCTAAATTTATGCTTTTATAGTGAGTTTTATTCTCCTTTTGAGCAGGGAAGCATACTTGTTTGAAAGTTACATGTGAATCAGATAATGGAAGTCCTTTGGGGTCAATTCATGATGCTGGTTTGTTCAATTTTATAAGGTTTTTTTGATTGTTTGTTTAACTTATATTTTTTGTCATAGAGGGTTTATGAAACTAAAATGAGAGTATTTGAAATTAGGAACACTTGCTGGGATATCACAGGAGGGAGTGAACAAACTTCTAAGACGTGCCAATAGACGTGGCTCTTCAGGGAAGGAGGAAAAGGATGAATATCTTCAGAAGAATGACCTAAAAACAAATGAACAAGTTGTACATACAATGATTGCGCAGAATGCTTCAATGGCTGAAGATTGTAGTAGAGATGCGGTAGGAAGTTCTCAATTAGTAGTTGATGTGGGAAGTTATGAAGATAATCTTTTCGATGATTCAGAAGACATGAACGACTCAGATTGGGAAGATGGTTCCATTCCCAAACTGGATCCTGTAGACAATTCTCCAAAGGAGCGCATGAAGGGTTTAACTATTGAATTTGATGAACCATCAGGTTCCGCTGGAAGGAAGCCTGTTCGTCGAGCTTCTGCTGAAGATAAGGTGAATTGAATTTCTTGTAATGATACTGACATAGCATTTATTTGATGTTAAATCTTTGCAGCTTCATCTTATGAACTCCAAAATGTTTATGCTTTTTACAAACAGGAAATGGCTGAGCTCGTGCACAAAGTTCATTTGCTTTGTTTACTAGCCAGGGGCAGATTAATCGACAATGCTTGTGATGATCCCCTTATTCAGGTTTATTTTTCTCTATCTTCTATTTATGCCCCAGGACGATTGCTGAATACAGATATTTCCTGTTCTAACGAAATTTGATTGGCTTGGCAGGCATCTTTACTTTCTCTTGTCCCAATTCATTTATCAAAGATATCAGGGGTCTCAAATATCACTTCAAATGCTTTGTCTCCTCTCGTCACTTGGGTACATATATTTTGCGCTGTCTACAGATTACTTACAATGTAAATTAGCTATTTATCCTTTTGAGCCTGGCGTAAAACTTGCAGTTCCATAATAATTTTCATGTACGAAGCTTGGTTCGTGCAGAAAGATCATTTCATACTGGTTTGGCCTTTGCTCTTGAAACTCGTGAAGGGACTCCAGAAGAGGTAGTTTCATGATCTCTTATATTATAATCTGAGAGATGACCATCGGTGGAATTTCTCTTATATTATTCTTCTTCATTGTAGGTAATGTTGTCTAGGATAAAAAAGTTACTCTCTTTGTCACACTTAATTTGTCACAGTTGACTTTTTTTGGTCAAAAAATTTTCTGCTTTGACCTCTATCATTTTAAACCTTTGAATGCATTAGATTTTATAACATATATAAAAATTACGTCATTCAAAGTTTTCAATTTTTTTTTTGTATTTTTATTAATGATAAATATAAAATAATAGGAGTTCAAAGTTGAAAATTTTTACTAACAAAAATCAAAATGTGATAAGTTTATTGGAATGGATTTGAGATCTTATATGTTCTGTTGAATGTTATAGTGAATCTTTTTTGCCCTTTTCTGCTAGAAAGTATTAAGTGTTGGATACTTGCATGTAACTAAACTTGGTATGAATTCAGCATGCATAGTACACTCACGAATAATGGAACAAAATTGGCTGGTGTGATTAACTCTGTTTCTGGAAAAGCTACAATCCAGTTAATGTATGACAAAAATTTCTCTGCTAGCTTAACATATGAAGAGTACTCACAGGTCGTTTTCTTGCAGATTGCGGCATTGTCTGTGGCATTATTTAGAGCTTTGAAGTTTACTGCACGGTATGATGTCACTATGAGGGTATCTGGTTGCTGAAATTGTACCTCTGCAATTTATTTAGTTTTTTGTTATCTCTTTAAAATTTGTAGACCTTCAACTTGGCTTCTTGATGATGCTCTACCTTAAGTAAAATGTTATCCTTTGTTTGTAGTATTATCAAGGCATGCATAACCATTTTGTGTGGATGCGCAAGTTGTTTAATATGTTGGCAATTTATAGAATTTTATCCACTAATAGGCGTATAACCTTCGCTAGATAGTGATCAGCCTTAAGTAAAATGATCTTCTGTCACTATCTAATATTCTAAATTTATTGTTGGATGTGAAATTTAATTATTGTTTCTATGTACTGAATATCAGAAGTTTTATTGTTTATGGATTTGTTTTCAGTTTAGCTCATAAAGGGAAGCTTGTCTGGATGTATCCTGTGCTTCAAATTCTTTACGTGAATAATAGCATCATGACCATTTAAGAAACCTCTTATCTTTGAAAGTGTTTTACGTAATGAACATTGAGATTCAAGGAATATGTATTGAGTTCAAGAGGAGAGGAGTGAACAATGGATGGCTTGAACAAGATAATTCTGGCTCCTTTTGACCATATCAAATGATTATGCAATTAATTGATCTAGGGCTTGGGTAATCAGAATGGTTTATGGTTAGGTGTTTTTTATTTCTCCTCTGACTGTTTCTTAAAGGATTTAGCTTCCTTCATCAGTGCTCTCTTGTTGTGCCATCAGTGCTCTTTTCTATCAATTTCTTACTTTTGAGAAGATAAAGGAAAGAGAAGCCCCAGGCATTAGCCAAAAGAGTAGAACTTGACAGAGAAGTTACAGAGCGATTGGCCCACTCTTTTCATTTGTTTTGGGTATTACCAAAAACTAGCCTTTTGACAACCCCAAGCCTGTGCTTAACCTGTCAAGCATCATGGACATTTTTACTTGTAATCTTAGAGAGTGTGAGATACAACCACCTACGCATATTCTCCATATTTCAAAAAAGGGCCTGTTAGCAACAGGGATGATGTTGGAATTTAAGCTTCGGGAAGAATATTCTTTTGGATGGCATTTTGAGTAAAGATGTATATGCTATGAGTACAAAGAACCTTAAACCACAATATGGTTCCCATACTTTATTTTTGGTGCTCCTTGTTTTGTTTCATCTGCACCTTTTTTTCCTTTTTTTTGGGGGTGGGTGGGGGGGGAGTGGTGGGGGTGGGGGGGTTTGTGTGAAGAGTTTCTGGTTTACTCAATTTAGTTCTAAATTCATTCTTTTTGATCTGTGTTGAACTTACTTTTCTTCCTTTGAAGTTTATAAATATGCCAGGTGCTGCTGTAATAATATTCTTTTGTGAGCCATAGACCCTTTTTCGTGGCATGACTTTCTGGAAGCCATTAGGGCTTTAGTTAGTTTTGCCCCTGCCCCCTCCCTATATTTTTTGTCATTTTATTAAGCTCAAATGCTTTCTCTTTGTTCTTGAATGGTGTTGATTATTTCTTTATTTTTGTGCATACTTCGTAAAATTGTTTAATCTGACAAACTTTTCCCTCCAAAGTCCAGATTGTAAGGTTGGTTGAGGCAAAACAACACTCATCCTCACATTAGTCATATACCCATTTTCAGGTTTGTGTCCATCTTGGATGTTGCCTCCTTAAAACCTGAGGCTGATAAATGTGAAAATTCGAGTCGAGAGGCAAACAGAGTGGGTGGAGGGATATTTCGTACTTCAACACTGATGGTGGCTAATCCGAAAGAAGTTTCTAGCTCTTCATCTCCAGTTAAATCATTCTCATGCAGTGAGAAAGATGGTCACTGTGAAAATTCTTTGAGGAGTTCACACAATGGTAAGGGTGGCTGCCCAACAAGCAATGACACTCAATCCAGAAATTCTACTGCTGTAGATGAACTGACTGATAGAACATCAAACTCATTTGCCTGTCAGGCGCAGTTGGATACATATGGACAATGTGCTCCTACAAAATCTCAGGGGTTGAAGAGGAAAAGGGATCTTGAGTTTGAGATGCAGCTGGCAATGGCTATCTCTGCTACTGCTGTTGGGACTCATGAAAACAGTGCTGGGTCATTGGATGTTAGTAATTTTAATGGTAATGATTCATTAGATGCATCTACTCCTTCAAAAAGATGGAAAAAGATCCATAGAGTAGAATCTGCTACTAGCTCCCAAGGACTTTCTACTGCACTTGGATCAAGAAAAGTAGGATCTCCATTGTTTTGGGCAGAAGTGTACTGTGGTGGAGAGAACTTGACTGGGAAGTGGGTGCATGTCGATGCTTTGAATGCAATTATAGATGGAGAGCAGAAAGTAGAAGATGCAGCTGCGGCATGTAAAACAGCATTGAGATATGTAGTTGCTTTTGCAGGTCGTGGGGCTAAAGATGTGACCCGCAGGTTTTAACTCCTACCTGATTACACCTGTTTTTTAACATCTGGATTCACGGTCACATTTTAAGATATCCATAATTTTGGTCATTATTTAAAGTATTATATACGTACATAGATACATCTATTTTTATGCCCATTTTTGAGGTATTCATCTATTTTAGTTCTTGTATTATTTTTGTTATGATTTTAACACACACCCCCTTTGCTACTTGCTTTTGATGTGTTCATATATTATCTTTCTTGTAATTTTTTTCGGTATGATTTTCTCATCAAATTGACCTTCTGACTACTTTGCCCTTAATGGTTTTAAGTTGGGTACCGATAAACCTTTCTATTTTTGAAGTACATGTATTTATTTGGAGAGTTATACTTATATACAAACCTTTGTGTCAGAATAAGATTGGGAATTAATAGCAAGGTTATCAGATGCTTTGGCTTACCAATTCCATTTGCTGATACATTTATAGTACAGGTATTGCATGAAGTGGTACAAAATAGCACCAAAACGAGTTAATTCAATTTGGTGGGATGCAGTGTTGGCACCTTTGAGGGAGTTAGAGTCAGGAGCAACTGGGGGTACGATTAATATGGAAAAGCTCCACAATAATGCTTCAAATGAGCAGGAGAAAATTAAAGCATCTGGAATGTCTGAATATCCAGGTGCAGATAGTCCTTCAAACCATGTTATCTTACCTGAGAAGTCAGGCCAAGACGCTTTCAATGAGTATGGGACTAAGAGCGAAGTTGAATCTTCTGCAAAGCATTCCTTTGTTGCTACCAGGAACTCTCTTGAAGATATGGAATTGGAGACTAGGGCACTAACTGAGCCTCTTCCCACTAATCAGCAGGTATAGTGATTCACTGGTACAATCAACACAAATCTGAGAAGTTGCTAACTTAGAAGTTCTTTTTAAATTTGTCTGTATTTCATAGGCCTATAAAAATCATGCATTGTATGCACTGGAAAGATGGCTTACAAAGTGTCAGATTCTACGTCCAAGAGGTCCTATTCTTGGTTACTGCTCTGGTCATCCAGTATATCCTCGCACTTGTGTGCAAACTCTCAAGCCAAGAGAAAGATGGCTGCGTGAAGGGCTGCAGGTTAAAGGCAATGAGATTCCTTCGAAGGTCTGCCTTCTCTAATAGCAACTGATGGTTGTGATAGCTTCTGCATTAATTTGTGATAGTTTAGTATGTCATTTCAGTTAATCTGAAGAAATCACAACCAATTTTCCTCAGGTGTTGAAACGTTCTGGAAAACTAAAAAAAGTACAAGCTTCTGAAGAAGATGACTATGAGGAGATTGATTCTAAAGGAACTATTGAACTTTTTGGGAAGTGGCAGCTGGAGCCACTGTGTCTGCCTCATGCTGTTGATGGAATTGTGCCAAAGGTGATTGTTGTTACTTTCTTGTGAATGCCATATTGGGTTCTGATTTTAAATAACTAACAACCTAATCATATGAAGTGGTTTGATGTGCTTGCTTGGTTGACTTGTTTGGCTAGGGACCTAGGTTTGTAAATTTAGTGGGTTACATGTTGTAAGTATTCTGAACAGGCAAGGGGAATCCTGGAAATGTATAGCAGACTAGTGCTCTGCGTTTTTGTGTAACAGAGCTGGTCACCATTGTATTTTTGTGGGAAAGATTTTATGCAAAGGAGCTTCACATTGAAACTCTTAGGCCTAAAATCGTCCCAGGCCTAGTGGGTTGATGTCCACAGGCATATTAATGAAATTATCAAATTTCAAAAAAAAAAAAGATATAACCTAATCATATGTTTTTCCTCTAAGCAATCAAAAATTGGTTGCTCTCCTTAATGCTTACCCTGCAATTGTTGTTTTGCTATCGTAATTGGATACTTGGATACTTTTAATGTGGAGATTCGTTTCAATGGCAGATGAACAAAATGTTAGTGCAAGAAAATAGTGCTGTGATTTTCTTCTTTTCCGCCCTTTTTCTTATGCCTATCCTGATTTATTTTGTTATTTATGTAAGCCTCCTTTTCTTTTTCTTTCAAGTGGAAATTGAGGATATGGTTTTCATAACAGTTGAGCAATGTAGCTGCAAACTAGTTGTTTTCCATTGTCGCCATGCCATTGTTTGAATATGCAAGTTCTGTTTGGAAGTACTTTTGAAAATGAACAGTGCACTTGAGACATTCACCTAAATATTAGTCTTAGAAATTCATTTTGGTGTAGTTGCCTGTTAGTTTATTGAAGCTTTGCTTTCCCTGACAATCTGTTTGATTATAGAATGAGCGTGGTCAAGTTGATGTGTGGTCTGAGAAGTGCCTTCCACCGGGGACTGTTCACTTAAGGTTGCCAAGGGTATTTTCTGTTGCCAAGAGGCTGGAAATTGATTATGCACCTGCCATGGTTGGTTTTGAGTTTAGAAATGGTCGTGCAGCTCCCATCTTTGATGGCATTGTGGTGTGCAGTGAGTTCAAGGATGCAATATTAGAGGTAACTACATCCAGCTCACTTAATAATTGAGATAAATGCTCACATATATTGGATAAAATAGTGAATTTCCATTTCAATTTGCCCATTGTTTCACCCAAAAAGATAAAAGATTTATAATTAATGGATTAATGGCAGAAGGAAAACCAGAGACAGTGAAGAATGCAGTTTTAGTCTTTCCCCACATATCAATCTAGTTATCTCTTGAACTTCCTATATGGTGCCAGTATATTTGTCCTTAAAACAAGTAACTCTAGACTACAATGAAGACCATTTGCGTCTATTTTTGAATATCCTAAGATGTATTTGTTCACCTGCCAGTCCACACGTGTGGGTGCTCCTTACAATTTTATATTTTATATCTCCTTATGAATAAATCATATGAGAAAAACCGGACAAAGTGAAGAGCGTGGACATGGTTTGCCATGTATCTTGAGTTAGCCTTCTTTTTCAATACTTTTGGCCAGACACAAAAAGACATGGACAACCTGATAATGGGAAATGCAGTACTAGGTTCCACATATTTCAAACTCTCTACACATCAAGTTTTAAGTGGTTTCTATCAAGGTTTCTTAACTGATGCTCTAAATATACCTGTAGTGTTTACAGTAACCTCATTTTATTTTATATGGTAACTGAGTCTATAATCTGGAATCTGGCTTGTGTTCCCAAATTAAAAGTTGTGGCTCCCTTTTTTTCTAGGCTTATGCAGAGGAACAAGAGAGAAGAGTGGCTGAAGAAAAGAAACGGAATGAAGCACAAGCTATCTCAAGATGGTATCAACTTCTCTCGTCCATTATAACCAGACAAAAGTTGAACAGCTATTATGGAGATGGTTCATCATCACAAGCATCCCAAAATACACAAGATAAGAATAATGAGATAAATGCTCTGGATGAAAGCAGTAAGGATGACAGGCAATCTACTGGCCTTTGGAAAGGAGATGGAGAGGATACTTTGTCTAATGTTCCATCAGGAACACTAGTGGAAGACCATGAACATGTATTTTTAAGGGAGAATGAGAGTTTTGATGCTGAGAACTCAGTCCGAACGAAGAGATGTCACTGTGGATTTTCAATCCAAGTGGAAGAATTATAGCAAGGTGGATATTCGAATCCAGAAGTGGGAAGAATTTTCATACCTGTTTTTCATATAAGTTGACAAGATGTTACTGGGAAGTAGCTTACGATTATCAGATACCTTAAATCTGATCTTGCTGTCCAGGTCGGAGAGATAAGTGCCTTCAATGTAATACCGGATCAAAAACTTTGAAATTATCCTGGAATTTTGGTTGAGGTAGATGCCGTAAATATATCAGGCACTGGTAATAGCTGCACAATGCAGAGGAATCTTATTTATTTATTTTTTTCTGGGTTATGGTGAAAATTTCTTTTACCTTGTAATGTTAAAATTGAGCTCAATGATTTGGTAGATAAATGGGATCAAATTTTACTGAAACTGAAACCGTTGCCGCCATTACAGCGGCAGCAAAGCTCTAACCTCTCTTTGCTCCAATGACTGGTGTTCCAGTACCATGGACAAGGAACTGCTATTCTTCAAATTCTGAATGCCTGCCTGCATTCTCAAGGCCTTGGCCACCAACTGTATCTTTTCTATTCGTTTGTAGAGATGTGTGAATGGGTGAGGATTGGGTAAGAGTTCCAACCTAATTTCAGACTTGGTTCCAGTTGCGCAACAATGCCCGACTAGTTAAAAGTTAAAAACAAACAAAAAACATAAACAAAGAATAAAAACAGAAGTTTGCTTAAGCAACTACTTTTAACCATTATCCATACTTAAGCACATGCTACACATATCCAACAATACACGTAAATCAGCAGTTGTTCAAACATATACAAGTACAAATGACTATAGCCTCAAACATAGGAGCCACAGATAGGTAGGGAATGTCTGAAACAAACTTAATGAACCTAAACTCAAATTTGACACATTTTTATAGACATCATTATTCTATCCTCCAATTACATGGGGAGCGTCTACCAACTACATGTACACAGCAAATTAGAAAAGCTAATCTACTCAGCTCATGTAAGCAATACATTACATTAACATAAATACACACCAATGTCAAGGGTTTTGACTCATTGTACAAGCAGTATGTACATGTTTGTGGTCATATGTCCATGTTATCAAATATTTCACCATCTTCCTCATAACATAAGTTATCCGCATGAAATCCATCAGCCACCAAATTACTGCCAGAAACAATATAAATTAGGACCAAATATAATCCGGGAAGCTCCTAAAGAACCACAATATAACAGAACACAGTTAGACCCACCTTAAGCAGCAAAAGCTGAAACTCACTACACGCTTTTGTTTTCTATTGTAGAAGAAGAAACTGAATGACCATCTGAAAACATAAGTCCCCAACTGTTAATTATGGCATACGAAAAACCACTTTTACATTAGTAATAATGGAAAAAAAAAATCTCACATTGCTCCTTTCTCCAGAAAGGGATCTGCATCAGAGTCTGCGTTATAACTGTAAATTTCGCACTCCGAGAGTTTCACAACCTGCATAACCAGGTATTTTAGAATTGGCACTTGCTGAGACTTGCATTCAATCTTTGAACTAAGCTCACCTCATCAAGAGCCTTATACACAGTCTCCAGTAATGTACTGCCCCCATATGTCTCAATCCATTCCTGTCAATGATGTAAAGCAGGAAACTTAAATGCAAGGCAAAGAGACTTATTTACAGAAATCAGATATTGCAATCTAATGAATATTAGCAATCACTTGTCTCCCATAATACCAAATGACCTCCCAAACCCCAAATAACACACACAACACCCCACATGCCCAAAGTGTTGTATGATGCTTGCCAACTTAGGAAACAACCAATGAATACAACCTATTCTAGACAAAACCATTAAGCTATATCTTTTACCAACATAAATACCCACAAGGTTATTGGGTGATGACTGAGGAGTGCAAGAGTAGTAAATGCGAGGTAAATTATTCAAGGAAATGCAAATTATTTCTCTCTCAAGTGTGTGCCTTGTAATCCTTCAAGATCCAATGTCAAAAGCGAAGAAATGAAGATAATTATGCCAATACCTTTGAGGCTTCAAGCATGTAGGTATCAAAAATCTGCTTAAAAGTATCCCAACTTTCCTCTGTGAAGAACTGGTGTGCTTTAACTGCACTGGAAACCACAAAGGCACATGCAATACCATAATATAAGGAAGCCATATCATAACACACATGAGTGTCAGCATAAAGCACTCAATGGCACGATAACGACTTGAACCCGACACAAACAAACCACGAAACCAGTAGGATTAGTTTTGGGAAATGGAGAGAATTGAACTCTCAGCTCCTCCAAGAGCGACAGTAGGTTGAACTGTCTGTCAAAACCTTTTGACAACACTCCCAATGCAGTAAAAGAGGATTATATAGTGGGTTGTCAAGTCGCCCAATAAGCTGACAGTGGCATTACCCATAATCCTCCTTTTAAGCTCTCTTTGGAATGAAAATGTGCTCATGCAACATAAGATACAGAGATACCTGAAGTCATAATCTGGATACATGTGACAGAGGGTAAGCACCAAGTAGATCAATGTCTTTCGGCTGAAATGCACACAATAGAAAGCTGGTCAAAAAATATGAAAGACAAACAAAACTACCTAAAACTAATGTAATATTTACAACCTTGATCTGCTCAAAAGGAATTCAACTGGTGAGGAGGAGTCAGTATCAGAAGATTTCCCAAGATAGTCAAGGATCTGATATGAAACAAGTATCAGAAAACCCTCAATCCCACCAAAAATAAATAAAATTTTATGGCTAGAAATAAAAAATTCTGCAAGGCAAACCAGATTCCCATGAACACTGGGAGATATTTGTTATATTAACTAATGATAGTAACTGATATGTCGCAAGAAAGAGGATTTTTATCCAAAAAAAAACCATTCTACAATCCATTTTCTCCAAAAAACATTATAGATATTTCCCTCCCTCTTAAAATTCCCTGTATCACAAGTACAACTCAAACGCTTTCTAAACTTCAAACCCATTTTCGCTTTCTCTATCAATGCCTTAGATATAAACTGACTCCAATTTTCTTACAGATTTTTCAAGTCCTTTCCAACACAGTCTGACTGGTCAACACCCAAAATCATGTTGTTTAGCTCGGTTCTCCTGCTTTTCTTCCTCAAGTAAGATTTACCAAATGGGGAACCAAAAGAACTTAAATGCTTCTGGCCATTTAATGAGACTATAGATTACTAATCTGATTATAAAAACTTGAATGGAGTTTCAGATAGAAACATGCAAAAGAAAATAAAGAAACATTTTTCAATGATGCACGTCAAAATAATTCGATAAACAAATCGTAAATACTAATTGAAACAATTTTTGTACTGTCATAAACAATACATAGAGACTTGAAGGCAGAAAGTTTATGATAAAATAATATGATTATAGAAGACTATAGACTTAACAGCTAAAAGTATATGATAAAACAAATTAATTAAAAGGAACCAAACATATGATATGTTGAAATGTCCTCAATTTACCTCATTCTCCAAACTGAGAGATAGTCTTTTATCTGTTCCTGTGTGTTTGCCTATAAGCAAGAAAGAAACTGAGTTTGAATCAAATATCTCCAAAATTTTCAGGATAACTTATGTCGTTAAACTTACAGGAGTAGGCTTCAAGGCTTCCTTTGATGGTGCGTTCACCAAGGTTTAATTCACTCAAGAAATCATTTAGTCTAGAAAAGTAAAATACAACTTAAGTGAGAATTCAAATCAAAAAGCAGAAAGTTACAATGATCATGAATCTAAGAAGAGTGAGGAAAAATAGCAAGTCTGTCACAATTTCATTCTTTTCAATGATTAAAGATTACCGGTCAAGTGGAGTGTATTCTAAGAACTTCATAGTGAGTACCGGATCTTAGTGTCAGGGATGCCAAAATGGAAGGTCCTGCACAATGAAGAAAAGCAGGAGTTATATATTGAAACTAGAATGTACAAATTCTTGCACTAACAACAAGGCAAACCATCACCCGAGGGATACAATCAGATTGAAACAACTTATGAGCATCATACATGTGACGATTATAAAGTATTGCATAAAGAGTAAATGACACAGAATTCCTTGAGATTTGGCCATAATCCAGAATCAGAACACTAGTTTCTGAAACATACATCCCGCCCCATTGAAGCAAACGCTGTTAACGGAAATGACAAAATCTCTGAAGCACCATTGCAAAACCATATTTTAAATGGGAAGAAGGGAAAGGAATAAACAAAAAAATTTCATAATTTAACGCAAGTCAAACTCAATTGGTCAAACAAAATCATAAACCAACAATAACTAGTAAAAACAGATTTTCAAGAAATCATTCTTAATTTCTGAAAAACAAATTCCATTATTGAAGATTTAAAGTTTGAAAAATTAAAAATCTCATTATTCCATTTTCCAACCTATACATCAAGTAGAAAATTCTAATAAAAAATTGCTTTGAAAGCTTATTAATTTGGGGGTTTTTTTCCCCCTTTTTAACCACTGTGGAATTGAGCCTTTTTTTTTTTTTCATTTTTCTTTGAAAAAGCATACTCAAATCTACAACAGTCTGGAAAGTGGAAGCTCAATCAAACAAGATCCCAAATTTAACATGAACCGAACCAAAACAAATTACTAATGGAAAATAAAAAATTACAAAAAAAAAACAAAAGAAATTTCTAATTACATGATAAAATCAAATCACAAATGAAAAAGAGGATCTTACCCTTAATTTAATTCACTTAAAAGTCGGAGAAGAAGGGGAAAGTTTGAACTGTGGAGCCTTCGTTAATGGCCACTGGCTTTGAACGATGGGATCAGAAAAATGGGAAGGAAAGTTTGAAAGGGGGAAATCGGGGACGTAGTTGGAAAAAGAGATAAATGAAATAAAATATATATATATTTGCTGTTCCTTTTTTACCCTAATAGTTGAGCATATAAGCATGAGATATTATTGGCATCAGAATCTTAATCGGCAGCCGGATTTGTTTGTCCTTTGTCGGCATCTATATTTCTCCATGAAAAATTAGATTATGCATTATTGGTGGATTTTTAGACTCCACAAATAAAAATTAAAAAATTCAGTGAAACATATGTATAATAAATTAATAAAATAATCTCATTATTAAATAATAAAAAAATTTTACTAAAATTTAAAAATTCTATCACTAATATATAAAATAATAATTTATTTTTAGATCGATCGTAAATTATACTCTTATTTAAACAACTCTCATGTAATTTAATTAATTATAATATCAATATCAATATAGGTATGAAAAAATAAATATTTATTATAATAAAAAAATATGAAATGTACAATTCAAATTTCAAGGATCAAAAATGTTATAACACGACTCATGTTTAAGCTTACGTGTGGCGTCAAGCTAGTCAATGTGCCACGTGTGGACATTGACCGCTAGTGTTTCGTGCCATTTCGGTCTGAATGGAATCACCAGCCCAGCCCAGCAGGACATAGACTTGTCTTGAGTGGGGACGGACGACTCAACCCATTTTACACTTTTATGACAGTGCCATGCTCAAGGAATTGGATTTTATGAGAAAATTTTAAATAATTTGAATAAAACAGTATTTATTTATTTTTTAAATATTTCGGACCATTTAACATAACTTACCTATCCTATTTTCAAATAATAAAGACTCAAACATGCTGATTGGATCTTGCTGTCATGCAACTCCAAATGTATTGGGCCAAGTTTTTATGTCCAAGCTTGAAGTTGGGCTATTCAGTTGGGAAAAGTGCCCAAATCTATTCTAATATTTGACAGGTTTCCAAGCAAGTACTTTTTTCTTTTCGAATAAGCAAATACTGAGAATAAATACATTATTTGTTTAAACAAAAGTAGATGGAAGTCGAGGGAACGAGGCATCACCATCTTATCCAGGTTGTTGGAACGTTAATTATGGTGAGAGGAATCACAAAACGTAGAATAATCCAAAGCCTCTTCTGTTTGCCTTTGAAAGTTCTTGAGAGGACCTCGTACTTAGGATTCCGTTGTCAGTTATGGTTGAAAGTGAGGTATCTCCAAACTCAAGCACATGTCGCTTAACTTAATCACTTTCAAACTTAACAGTTACCACCACCAGAGGAAGATGCTCAAAGCCCGAGTTTGACGACAGCATAACAGAAACATGGGACACAGACAAAAGGCATACGTTGAAAATTCTGCAACTCTGTTGTAATTCAGTTGAGTTATGCTATTTTGTACAAGTAAGAATAATGGTGACTTTTAATAACACGAGGAAAACGTTTGCTCCCACTTCCAATGATATAAATTGATTTCAATTTTCTTGTAATTCACATTGCTTTGCCATTCTCTAATTAAGAGACCACTCCCACTCCCACTCCCACTCCCTCCCCCACCCCGGTCTGCTGAAGTGACCCACATGAAGGAAAGGGATCCCTCACAAATCATCAATCCGAGGGTGGGCCAAGAGTACTTCTGACAAAGACCAAGACACACACACACACACCAGGATCAGAAATCAAGACCAGCCATCCGCTTTTCTCGGGGATTTGTCAAGGGAAGAACCCGTACAAGGTTTCCAAAGCCATTGGATATTAGAGCAAACATGGTCAACATCGTCATCAAACAACAATCATCTCAAACTTGTCTGATCGCCTTTTCCAAATCTTCAACCTCAGCAAACTCTGTCACATCTCACATCAATCACAGTTTTACTGAAGACCAAGAATAAGACTAACCCCCCCAACCTTCCATGTTGAATAACTCGAATTAGCACTAACCAAATAGCATCCCGAAACCAATATCAAGTAACACAACCGCCCAATTAACATCAGTAATAACTAAAATTCACTCTCCACCTATCCAAAACCAGTGTTAGCCTGTTAGGATATTTCAAACAATAAAAAGCAAGGGATTACTATTCACTTTGCAGTGATTAAACTTCTGCAATTGTCAAACTCAAATTCCAGCATTTCGTCCCGTTTGAAACTTGTTGCTTGTCAAATAATTTCAGACAGTATTCTTAACTTCAAAACAGCTAGAGATGATTCCAAACATAGTAACAGTTTTGGTGAATAGTAAACCATATATTAGGCCAGAAAACATCTGGCGGAGTAGCACCACTTTCCGATATTCAAGCACACTAACAGCACAAACATACTCAACAGGATTTGTAAAACACATCAAAGAAAATAACAAAAATCATCATTAGCATTAGTCATCCTCTACAAAAAACTTAAAACTAAAAATAAAGATAAAAATTTCAAAGCCTCAACAACTACTACATCGATAAATTCTACAAGAACACTTACATACACACAATTATCAAACTAACAAGCACCATGCAACTTCTACAGACGAAACAAAGTAAACAGTAAGCAACACTACAAGTTAAATGAAAAATTAAAAAAAAAAAAACCATTAAAATGCTCTTAATGTTCAACACTCACTTCAGTCAATGCCGAAGCCTTCACCTTAGGAGGACGCCCCCTAGGCCTTACCGCGGCCACCATTGTAGTTGTGGAACTCCCACCTATTCCGCCTGCGGGCCGCGCCATCTTCCTTGGCCTTCCACGTGGTTTCCCAGTCCCAGAAGCCACCTTAGGCTTGGGGGACTTAGGGGGAGCATTGGGGTCCTTAGGAGGGCGGCCTCTGGGCCTTGCAGGGCTTAAAACCACGCCCGGCGGCAACGGATCCTTGGGTTTCGGAGGCCTCCCACGGCCACGCCTTGGTGGGGCACTGGGGTCTGCTTTCATGTAATTGTTTTTCCAAAAAATGAGCTCCCCAGTTTCTTTCATTCTATTAAGATGGTGAGAAAGGAGGGTGGTATGACCAGCAGGCAAATCGCCATACTGCGATTCAATGTATTTGGATATTGAAGTCTTGTTTGAGCCATTCTTGTCGTTCAATGCTTCAATGGCATTAACAATCATCTGCATGATAAAATATAGATGAATTATTTAGATTTCAAGCAATTTTAAGCTACAAAGCTCAAATTTTATGCTTAAAAACGGGAAAAATGGAAAATTTAAGAGAATTAAGATAAGATAAAGTAACGTCAAATTGCAAAAGACAAAAAAAATTCCTTATTTTGGTGTTTCACAGAAACATTGAAAGTTTAAAAAGAGAAATTCGACGGAAAAATAAATTTTCCTGGCAATTCCGGGAAAAAAAACCCCATCTCCTTTTTCAGAAAAAATAAAAAACTACAACATAAAAATCAGAATAAAATCAGTAACAGATGAAGAAATTTAGGCAAAGAAACTCAATTGAAGATGAAAAAAAAAAAAGAAATTTTTAAAATGACAGTTTTAAACCAAAAAAAAAATTATTGTAATCTTAAATCAGTAAAAAAACGAACAAACAAAAATTAAAATTAGATCAAAATCCAACAAATTTGTGGCTTAATGAAAATGGGTTTCGTTTTAATTCCATAAAAAAAAAAGTAAAAGTTTCTCCAAAAACAAAAAAAAAATCCTATACTACAATATAAAATTAACGATCAATTTTGTTCATGGTTAAAAGTAAAAAAAACAAAAAATATTGTGAGAGACAGTAGATGTACCTGTGGGTAAGAAGGAAGTGAAGGAGGCTTATTGACCTCTTCAGTAGCCATTAATTTTGCACACACACACACACACCAAGAGAAAAAATAAAACAAGAAAGAGAAAACTTCCAATGAAAGAAGATAAAATTTAAAAAGAAGAAAAGATAATTTCTTCGAGAAAGTTCAACTTCAAAGTGAGTTCCCACAAACACCTCTCTCCCTTCCTCTTTGGTTTTCAAATTTTTTCCATAGACAAACCAAAAACCCAAAGCCAAAACACCTTTAGCTACTGTTTGATGATCAGTTGGAAAAATAATAATAATAATATTAAAAATCTTTTCATTTTTGGATGAAATGGGCGGCTAAGATTTATTCAGTGGATGATGATCAGACGGTTTAGAGAGGTGATTCTTGCGGATTGATGACCTGGCGGAATTAAACTTGGGGGGAAATGACTGGATTATCCATTGTCTCTGGAGTAGTCCCCCATTTTCCAAGTTGTCTAATATTTTAATTATCTTTGGAGCAAAGAAAACATGTGGTCCCTCTTTTCAAAGAATCTATGAAATAAAAATTTTTTAAATATGCCTTTGTAATGTTTTAATGTCCGGTCTTTTTTTTAATAATTTTTACTTTTTGTATTTTAAATCTTTGAAACATTGATGTATCAAGTTTTTTTATTTTTTTATCATATTTAATTAAAATTTTTATTTTTATTTTAAAATAATAAATTTTATAATTAATGATTAATTAATCATTGTTAGTTAACATCAATAATTAATAAAAATAACAAAATATGTTAATTTGTTATAATAGAAAGTGAGATTACCACGAGTCCATATCATCATATTATGTTATCATCTATTTTAACAAGTCAATATGTCATATTTATTATCATGTATCATAAAATAATAGGTGTTAAATCAATTATTAGTGATAAAATGTATTTAATTTAAAATAAAAGTAAAAATTTAATTAAATAAATAACAAAATAATAATTTATTTAAATTTTCAGTAATAATTCGAGAGGTTTTGTGTTTTGATATTAGGTCTTAAAAAAAGTGTTGATAACTTTGTGATATAGTATGTACTAATTTTTATTTATTTATTATATTTGTAAGTACATTTGAATTTTTTTTATAGATGTGCGTTTCAATTTTTTCCACTTATAAATTAGTGTGTGAAAAGAAAAAAGGAAAGTTTGTTAGCCTGTTAGTAACATCAAGTTGATAACTAACAATAGGCTAATTCATTGTCCGTTTCAAAATAAATTATTTTGAACTCGAATTTTATGAAAGATATATTTTAAACAATTTATTTGGTTTTTGGGTTTTTAAAATTAAAAAGAAATCAATTTGAGCCTTCAAAATCTTTTATAAGAATCTAATGTGTGTACATAGTAATTAGCATGTACTTACTTATGTTACTAGTAGTTAGAACTCCTAAGAAAACATATAGTATTTATAATAAGAATGCATAATTTCCATGTATTGTCCTCAAAGGTTTGGTTGGGATAAAGAAGGGCTAGAACCCAATTTGAATAAAGAAATACATGCAATTATTATTGAGTCAAAAATATTATTATTTACAAAAATGTATAATTTTTTTATTAAAATAGGAAAAGAATTCGAGTTTAACTTTTTAAATAAAAAAGTATATGCAATTATTATTGAAATGTCTAAATTTTTATTTTGGTTTACTATAAGTTTAATTAATGAGATATCCATGAATCTTACCGACCATATTTTATCCCATTCCCTAAGTTAAAACAAGTGGGACAAAATTTAGGTGCGACAGTTTGGATTACTAAAGCACACTTTATATTGGTTGTGTTTTTTTGGCTTACTCTTCTTGCTTTGGATTTCTTGATTGGTTGCAAAATTGGTGCGTTTGCATGGTTTTCTTCCTTGTTGTGATTTTCTTGGTTAATTAATTGATCTTGCTTAGGCGTTTTTGCTATATTAGGATTTAAATTAGGTCTATAGTCTAAATCTTCTCTATGTTTCCCCTAGCCTTTTATCAACGTTCATTGCATGCTCGATAAGTCCAATTCTTTTCTTTTGATTTATAGCCTCCCACTTGGCTATACTCTCTATATACTAATGGGGTTGAATTATGTTATTTTATTTTATTTTTTTGAAAATGAAATTCATTGATTACCTTGTTTGATGTGGTTGACCTAATACACTTATTAGTATTACTTCTCTTTTCTCTTTCTCATGTTTGGATTCTAGATTGAGTTGTAATAGAATTGAACATGAAGAGTTTACTCTTAATTATACAAAATGACCTAGGTTACGTGTATACAACTCAATCCCACTCAAATGAATTAATATTAAAATTAAGGTCAATGACCCAAAATTGAATAACTAGAAATTTAAGTAACTCAAATTCAAATCAATTCAAAGTTTAAGACTCAAAATCTAAGTAACTCAAATTCAAATCAATTTCAAGTCCAAAATCAACCCCGCACGTGATGTTAACCTAAACCAAGGGCAAAATTAGACTATTTTCAAAAGGGGGTCAAACAGAAAGCGATTTAAACCATTAAAAAGAATTTTATATATAATTCAATTATCTCTCATTTAAAATATTAAATAAAATTTAAAAAACACATATAAAAAAAATACACATTAACAATAATGATAATGTCATTTATATATGTGACTGGATGAAACTATAAATAGAATCTCTCTCAATCTTTGTGCACAAGAGTGAAAGAGAAAATAAATTTTCAAACTCAAATGAATTACATTTTTACTTTGTGTGTTATAACTCTTTTCTTATTTTCTATTTATCTCTTAAAATTATTAATTAACATAATTAAGTTATTGGATTGAACTATTGAGATATAATATGTTATGATAAATTATTATGTTGGATTGTTAAGATATAATATGTTATGATAATCTTAGAATTTATATTAAAACTTAGTAGGTTTGGATTAGAAGACTCACTTTTTATTTTTTTAAAAAAAAAATTGATAGGCTTAACATATTAATTTAGAATTTATTTGTTAGACTTAACTAATAATATGCTAACCATAATGACTCTAATTTTTTCAAACAATTTTAATAATAAAACTAACTATTAAAATTTTTTTTGAGAGCCATTAAAAATATTATATAATAAATAAAATTGTATTGAGAAATACAATTATTTCATTTTATCAATTTGTATGTATATTCTTAGTGCTTAAAGTTTGCAATATATATGTTAGAATGCATTGGTTATTTTAAATAAAAAATGATGTATTGATAAAATTCTAAACAACAGTACAATACTATAAATTATATTTGAAAATTATATAATAATTTATTTATTTTTAAAAAATTAAAATCATAAAAAATAATATTCATGTAACAGGAAAAAAGAAAAATATAACCCGTAAAAAATAAAATCTACATATGACATAATAATAAAAATATATAATTGATGGTTTGTAAAAATATGTGAATGAAAATCTATAGAGATTTAAAATATATGAGTAAATAGAATAAATATAAATAAATAAATAAAAATAATAATTTTATAAATTGAAAAAAATTTAAAAAAACTTTAAAATTGAGTCAAGTATATGAAATTATTTTATTATTCTTTATTTATATTATTTATTAACTAAAAACTTATTGAAGGGGCCATGGAGAAAATTTATATAAAATTTTTTTAAAATTTTGGAGGGGCCATCCTATGAGGATAACCTAAACATCACCTTCACGTTAAGCTAACCATCATTTTAATTCTTTTCTCATTTTGAATTTAAAATTGTCGGACTTTATGGGATAATAATATTTTATCTTGATAAATTAAAGATAATAATTATATGATATTTTAAAGTTCTCATACAACCTAATAGAAGGGGTTCTATAAACGACTTGAGGTCTTTCATCAAATATATACTTACAGTTAGCTAGAAAAATAAATTTGAAAACCAAATTCTTATTGAACTTGTAAAAAATTGGTACAAGTTTGATTATTCTATAAATTTTTTTAGTCCGTATATTTTTCCTACATAAATATAGGAAACACAGAGTATATTATTATAAATAATGATCTAATCTTGTGTCAATCTAATTTAATTTTAAAGTACAAAACTTAAATACATATCTTAAAATTCAAATATTAACTTAAAACAATTTAGATGTGTGAGATTGCATTGTACACTATTATTATTGATAATGTTCAATTATCTCCACCATTTTTAAAATAATTCAAAATTTTTTTGTAAATCAATTGTATAAATGAAAATGTTTTATGAATTAACCTTCGCTTAGTATATACATGTGGAAGTTATTGAAATTGCATGATAAACTATTCCTTGAAACAATTATTTTATTTGATTGACCGAACGGATCTAAGATTTTTTTATGAAAAGTGACTAAAGAGTAATCAAACAAGGTCATGAAGTAGATTAATGATTCAATTCGAAACAAAAAAATTAATTACTTTTGAAATAAAATAAAATTACAATATAAAATTTTGTTAATAACTTAAATATAAGTTTTCAATTCACTATTATAAATAGATAGAAGAAAAATTAACATTAGGTTTCACACTAAGAATCGTAATAGACATAAAGTAAAAAGAAAAATTAACATTAGATATTTATATTAGGTATTGTAAGTTGTGCTTAATGTGTTTTCATGCTTTCAAATTTATTGATGATTTAATATAGTTAAAAAAATTAAAAAAAAAAAGACCAAAAAAGAAAGAGAAGGTAAAAAAGAGAAAAAAAGGAAGTAAAAAGAAGAAAAATTAGTATACTTATAAAGGAAAAAGGAAAAAAAAAGAGAAAAAAAAGGACTTATAAAAGAAAAGAAAAAAGAAAGACAACAAAAAAAAAAGGAAAAGAAAAATAGTTTCAAAATTTGGGCAAACCTGTGAAGGTTAACTTAAGTTTCTTACCGCTACCACAAATTTGATTTACCAGCATTCTAATTGGTGGAATAGGCTATCGTTCCTCCTACCTGTGATGCCGATTGAAGGCTTGGTGCATTCCCCACACCCAACAGGCCAACACAGCAAGCACTTGAAGAATTTACTGCTGTTACGCCTTTATTCTCGGACTTGCGGCTGACGATCCTGTGTCACCAATTGTGGCTACAAGAGCCAAACTGCTGCTACTCTGATCTGAACCAATAGCGCGTCTCCCTCCTCGGCTTCGACTCCGATCAGATGATTGGCGATTCCAATTTTCTAGGTAACCGATAATTTCAAAACATTGCTCTCTTGTATGCCTTAACTTTCTGCAATGAGTGCAACGCACTGGTTCTGTTTTCTCCTCAAGATGCCGATTCTGGCTTCTTTTGTTGCTTGCAACAGCATGCCTTGATGTCATTGCTTGATCTCCGGTTACCTGACCTGCCAGAAACGCAGCGCCTTTAACAGTTGGGACTCGGGCTGCAGCGACTTGTTTTTGCTTTTCCTCCTGCGCTGCTATGGAATATGTTTTTCCCAAACTAGGCAAAGGAATTCCTATCATATCAAGATATGTACATATCAATTGAGAAGATAAAGAAGAGGATTAAGGGGATAAGGGAAAGGATAAAGGATTGCAGTTGTTATCTCCATTAGCTTATGAAGAACATTTTGGGCTACGTTCGGAAAAGCAGAGATTTCCAATCACCTGAAAGGCATAAGCATTATTCTATTGTTTTGAGTGTCCTAATTGGATGATGTAATCACCTGAAACAGTAAGCTATATATGATGTGGATGTCTAACACAAAATCATAAGAAAAAAAAAGGTATCGTCTGCGCTTTAAGATGCGTTTTATATTACCCTCTGATTCCTGCAGAGTATACACTGACGAAAACAAAAGATGATGGGAGATAAGGAGTGAAGAGGAAGAAACATAGCTGTCCTGAAAAGTGGAAGCAGTTTCCAAGATGACCTAACCTTCACCTTTTGTTTTTTGACCACTCCATCCTTCACCTCTTCTATTTCACTTTTCTCTTTCTGGCTGGTTGCATATAAAAATACGACCAGGGTTTTAGGGCTGAAAACATTTTGTTTCAAGGAAAGTCTGTCTGCTGATTAGATGACACCGAGTTCACTGCTTGTTGCAGGACGATGTAAGGTCAGAACAGATGGGATTTAGGGGATCAAATTTATTCGACAACGTTAAACAGTTGATTAATATAATATTTTCTAAAACAATGAATTGAAATATTATATATATATATATATATTTATATTTCACAATCTTCAGTCTTGAAGTTCTATTCGTTGTTTGTGCAGTTAAGAGTCAGACACAGCTTGCTGATAAGGCAGCTTTATTTGGCAGAGGAAATTTCCTCGGACGCTGTAACCAAGAATAATCTCTGTTGGATTTGCAAGTAACTGCATATGTAATTCCTGCTATTTAGAATGAGATTGCCTTAACATGATATTTTAACCGAGGGGGGACCGAAAGAAGAACATCAGTGACAACTCCTCGTACAACTATACAAGTTAACAGCCCATGGATCAAGTTTGTATTCCAAAAACTCATAATATATATAACATTACTTGATGCAAACAGTAGGAGAAAAGAAAAAAAAAAAGAAGGATAAAGCCTCCTTCTCTATCCTTTCAATTCCTTCCTCCAAACCTTATGGAGGAAAGAGTAAAGGAGAAAACTAAGATATTACGGATGAAAAGAAAAAGGAAAACAAGTTACTAGGTTCTCAACTGACTTACCCTACATGACCAAACCAGGTAGACAGTACGCTCTCCTTCCTCTTCCACCTTTCCTTGTAATAAGGCAGTTGAGGAGGAGATCCTGCAAAATTTGGGGCTTTTCATCATTCTTGTAAGCCCAAAAGAAAACTCAAGCAGTGAGGGGTAGACTTAAGTTTTTAAGTCTGCCTGCCACTCACCAATTCAAGAAAGCCAGATAAGGAATCTCCCCATCCATGTGGAGATATTCCCATCTTTGCAGGGAAAAAATTGGAGTCCAGGAGCTTCTAGTCCGATAAGCTCAACGCGAAATGGGGTGTTCGACCACTTGAATCTGCAGAGTACTCCTGCCGACTCTTGGAAATGCATTCTGCACTTATCAAACAAGTTAATCTTATATCAATATTTGGAGTAATTGGTGTGACAGGAAAGTCCTAATGTCTAGTTTCAATGAAGAAAATTCAACATATGTGAAAAGAAATATAGAATTACCAGGTGATTCCATATGTATATGGCAAGCCTAAAATCACCGTTGTGGGTCATCGCTCATATTTCTTGTTCGGAGTTCCAGAGCCCTCAGATCTCGGAGATGTTGTAAGATTTCTTGGAAAAGATCCATCCCTTTGTCTCCTTTCCTTATGGAGCCCATGCTATTCTTTAGAAACTCCTTGTCTTCTTCAAGAGCTTGTAGCCTCTCATAAACGTGATCCACCTCTTCTACAATTTCAAATTTCTTACTATCCAAGCCAAAATTTGAACCTGGATACTTCTGCATTTCAACTGGTTCACATTCTCCTTGTTTTTGGCACATCAATACTTCTTCTGTTTCATTATCTGTTGCATCCAGGAAAGGAAGGAGACTCTTTGCCATGGAAGCAATTGTTTGGCCCTCTGGATAACTTGTATCTTTTGAAAATCCACTTGAAACCCCATTGCCTTCTTTACTGCTCAGAATATTTTTCTCATCGAACCCATTAAGGGAATGCTGAATTGATTTCAAGTCTTCCATGAATTGATCATCCCCCATAGTCAGTAACTTATCTTCCAATGCCTTAAGCTGATCTAGGATGGACAGTCTCTCTTCCTCAAATTCTGTCAATGATTCATCAAGGGCACTCATATGGTTTATACAATCTAGTGCCATTTCCTCCAAATTAAGAGCTGCATCAGCAGGAGTATTCTCACCACTGCTTTCTTGATGACCACAGAAGCTGCTATCTTCATCCTTTGCTTCACGATTAAGGTCAATTGATAGATCGTCACTATCCTCCACATAGCTGCAAGCAGCAGAAGATTTCCTACTTTGCACACTTCCATCTTTGCTTCTCCTCATTATTCTCATCTTTTCTTTAGCCTCATAGTCCAAAACCTTCTTGCGATAAACTTCTAACCCTTTCTCCAGTTCTTCCTTCTCCTTCTCTCTTTTGATCATAAGCTCATTTAAAAGTTGCAGGGCTTCCTGGTCATATTCAGATTGTTCTTCCATCATCCTCTGGTATTGCAATGCTTCCATCTGCATTGCTGCCTTCTCTTCTTGAAGCCGGGTTATCATAGCCATTGTTTGATTAGCAGCAATTGCAGAGGCACTCCTCTCTTCCTCAAGTTCTGCATATAAAGCACTTAATGCCTTTCTTTCAGCTTTTAGGGATGTTTTCAGCCTCTCAATGGTTTGAATTGGATCACCACTTTCTATCTCACTTACTACACTCCCATCTAAAGACTCCTCGTGAACCGATTCCCTTTTTTCAAAGAGTAGCAATTTCTTATGCAAGTAATGCATACCTTCAAGTGAAGTTGGAGTGTCAGGAAATTTTTCCTCCTCTGCTTCATTAGGATCCAAATGCATGGATAAAGCAGTGTTTATCCCTTCTTGGTTCTCGTCACTTGAAATCATTGTATTCTCCATTGTGCTCTTCTCCTCCTGATTTGCACCTGGCAAAACCAAAATGGCTTCAGAAGCTACATAATGTAATATTCAACCATTCATAATATTGAGTGCTTGACCAAAGTAGTGAAGATAAGTATAGGCTTACCAACATTATTAGTGCTGTCTGATTCAGGAGCATTAACCTCTTTAGCTTCATTGTTATTCGTGGAAGAACTATCTTCCTGAAAGCATTGCAAAGAAGGAACTGATTCTTCAATTTGAGGCAGATCAGACTCTTGAGTGCTTAACAATGTCTCAGGTTTTGGTTGCTCAACCAACAGATTAAGATCAGTCTTCTCTTGGTGCTGAGCTGCTCATATTCAAAACATTTAACATTGAGAGTGATATGGAGTATGGTAAGTACTAAGTAATAAAATATGGTTAAACAAATAAACTATAACATAATTTTCATTGTGTTACAGTTTTCCATACCTGGAGGATTATCCGGCTCTTTGCTGGATGATGCGTCTGTCTTGTTGCCATCAATAGCTCCATGCAGGGTAACAACCTGTTTAAATGCCTCATCAACCAAATCTTCTTTTCCTTTATCAACATCTATAATGGATGGATTCTCAATGTCACCATCACCAAGCTCGGGGCTTTCAACTTTTCTTGGACAGGTATCCTCTGCACCCTCATTAATAGCATGTAATGCTGTCTGGTCAATCGGAGAATCGCCAGTTTCATTTTCATTAATTTCCTTCCCCAGATCTTGCTTTTCCGAAGAGTGGTTTGCAGATGTTGATAAATCAATTAACTCAACAGAAAATAAGCGGTCAGAAACACATTTCTGAGGATGCAGATTGATGAACTCTAGCAGATCATCTTCTGCAAAATAAGGTTCAACAATATTGCCATGTGAAGATTTATGAATTTCACTTGGAGCACTGAAATGCTGCAACTTTAATTCAGACCCTGAACACTCCTCTTCAGGTGCTTCTCCGAACCCAAAACTTTCAACATCAGAAAGCATCTGATGTTCAACTGTAGCTTCTTCACTGTTTTCGTTGTAATCTTCCTCGGTGTTCAGTTTGATCTCAATCATATCCTCACCTTCGTGATTTTCTGGGCTATCAGGTTTGCTTGGCTCTTTGTACTGGTCACTTTCACTGTCATCAGCTTCTATTGCTTCTATGATCAAACTTCCTTTCTGTGCATAATCCAAAGCACCCCAAGTAGGCTTGAGCAAGAAATAAGGAAGATGAAGTTTGCTGCCAAAGCTCCCCTTGCAGCAAGAACAAGAAAGAACAATTTCACCATTATCAAGTTTGTGATCAGTACTGACCCATGAAATGAAAGCAATCCTCGTCATTCCAATTGATTTATTATCACTAGGAGTTGGCCGAGCAGCCAAGCATTCCTCGCACATAAGGTGTGATTCTGCTAGTTTTCCATGACGTAGGCAGTAACTCAATTTGGAAATCTCAGTGGCATGTTTGCCACAAACAAGATCCCTATAAGAGTTTGCGTCGTTGCCAGGCTCTAAGACATGATCAACTCTAGTGCACCAGGGACAAGGTGGTTTAAGGCCAAAATAGTTGGCAAACTTTGTGATCAAGTAAGTGAACAAGGAGTTGAGTAGAAGGAGAATGATAAGGGTCCATTCAAGTAGTGCATAGACTAGGATGACAGTGATTTTGCTGGTGTTTTTATGCAAAAACGTTGCAAACTTGTTGGCAGCCATGGATGTTGCTATTGTCTTCTTGCTATTTACAGGGACAGGGAAAATCAGATGGGAACAATGAAATGTTTGGCGAAGATATGATTCTCCTTTTTTGTTTGACAAAACAACAGAAACAAAGCTGTAGCAAGAGAAGCAGAGAGGTTTCTTAGATAATCAGTTTTTTACTTTTCTTTTACAGTACATATTTAACATTTTGTATTGAGCCTGTTGATTCAATAATACGCCATCTGCCACGTAAGGAGCTGACATGTCCTTTAGTGAGACCAAGACATCCTAAAATCTCTTTGATATTGATATGGATCATGCATCTTTATCCAATCCAAGGAATGGGAAGCATCCAGACATTTCCATATCCCTAAATAAATACAACACGACAGAATATACTCGGGAAAAGGTGAATAGCTCCGCTCTATGTTCCTCAATTACTAACAAGCAACGTAACCACACTCCCTAGTAGTTTCGTGACGAAACTAGTTGGACAATTCCGTGTGTAAGTAAGATCTAAACAGTTGAAAGGATTTACCATGTGAATGAACCAAAATGGAGTTTGGGGTCCACTTCCATTGATTTGGGCTGCATCACGCGCAAAGCATGGCTCCACCATCATCCCATGTGAATATGGTGGTCAGCCATTTTGCTGTATAATTAGTGGTGACCCACATGCAAATGCACTGTTCCTATTAGCCAGACAGACGCTCTCCAGGATTACTGAGTTTTACAAGTAAGTGTGATTAATTCACATCAAAAACATATATTATATATATATATATATATATATTTATATATATACACATAGAAAGAAGATCATCCTTGAAAAAGAGTAGGGACATAAGAAATGTTTGGCATTGGTTGGATTGTTCAATAAGATATAAATAAAGATTTTAATTTTTAAAAGATGATAAACAAATGTTGTAAAGCTGATAGCATTGTGATCAGTTATATTTGTAAAGAAACTTGGGATTCTATGTTTATGATTAAAGTGAAAGGGGAAGGGAATGATGATGGAACATTAGGTGCCAAACAGTGGCAGACATTATGGAAAGGCTAAGAGGAAAGAAAAAGTTGACAGAGAAAAAGAGGAGGGAATGGAACAAATTAGGGGGGACTTGGATGGGGACTTGGATGGGGACTTGAGAACCTTTTTACAAGCAAAGCTGTAGTAAATGTCGTAAGGTCATTGTCCCTCTCTTTCTTTTTCTTGCTGGCTTCAGCTTTCCTTGATATGTTTTCTTTGAAAAGTTCATTCCTGGATTTGAGAATCATTATGCCTTTGTTAATTGATGGATTTAAGGGAAAGCTTACCAAACCAACGCCTCAATTAAGAGACAGATAGATTAGGAAAAAAAGGAAAAGCTGACCAGATTCAATGCCCAAAGTAGTTGCTTGTCAAAGAAAGTTTACTGAACAGGTATGGGGGTTGTATGGTGGGGGGAGGGCGGGGCGCGGTGTGGCCATGATATGTTA